GCTGGATGCCTCGGCGAATTGATTGTAGGGGTTTGTTGTTAGGGGGGAAGTATTGCTTGGGGGAGTGGGCTGCTCGTGTGCAATAGCGCAACGTGCCAATTTTGCTTCATTCGTGGCCTATCAGTTTCACATGTATGGGATCTGCCAACCTCGGAGTTGTGCTCTATGGTTCCGCTTCTTGCCGTAGCTCGTTGGAGATCTGGCTTTGCTGATTTCTGGCTTTCGACTCCGAAGTTCAACTTGCAAACCCTGGCCCTCAGAACCTTTGTTCCTTCTCAGGTTGTGGAGATTTAGGTTCATGCGTGCTAATAGGGAAAGTCACAGGTCTACAGGCGCGGCCTTACCATGACGACGAGCTTCAGGCCTCCCTGCTTGAGTTTGAATTTAGCTTCAGCCTCCCTCAGAGAGCAACCTGTCATTTTTGTCATAATGATTCTGATGCATCACCATCCAGCCGAGCAGCCTGGAATCCGCATCTTTTGATTAGGTTGCCTTTGAGATCATCGACCTCGATCGCCATGGCGAGATTGGCGCTGCGGACATCCGGAGAGCTCTCCGGCTCCCTGACCGCCAAAGCAATAAACCTGAGCAGCTGCGCGCACATGCATTTGTCCAAAGCAGCGCAGGGCCTAATGCTGTTCAGTTGTGAAGCGTTCGCTGAATGTAAGCTGCGTTTATGGGACATCTCGGTTTTTCTGTTGCGGATGGGTTCTTACACCCTGACGCAGATTCTCTGACTCGGACTCTTCGCCACTGCTGCCTTCCTCTTCCTGAGGCTATGCGGCGAGAGCGAGCCAACAGATGCGGAGATTCAGGCACGCTCCACAACGTAGACATACATGGAAGATCATGGAAGCAGTGAGGAAGCGCAAAGCCACCTGCACTTCTGGGAAAGCATCATAGTGTAGTGCATTTGTCAAAGGCCTTCCGCCCAAATGAGGAGACTTGTTTCATTGTGCTTGCAAAACTTCCAAATGCAGCCGAAAGAACCAGCATTCCTTTCATGATCACGATTTTCACAGAACGTTTAATGCCGGTGTTCCAAGTCATGATGTTCTTTGAGCTCCTCCAGGGTAAGAACTTCAGGAAGGCAATCACGGCTCCCGCTCGTTTAGATACTAACCGTGCCAGGAGATGATCCGCTTGATGGATCCAGCTACCTGGCAAAATTCATGTATTACGAGTGTAACCCCGTGTGTAATCGGTCAACAGGCCCTGTGCTGGGAAGCCCTCGCGCAGCGGAACTCAAGGAACGCCTGAAGAGTCAGAGATATTTGTCTTTGTTTGAAGCGCAGGGTTCGCGAGGTTGGGGCAAAAAGCATAGCATCACAGCAAGTACGACACGTACTTACAAATCTTCCCAGCGCAGCTTTGTCCATGAGGCTTTCTGATTTGCGCAGCCCTCATAGCCCTCTAGCTTTGGCCAAGCCGCCTTCCAGATTGCAGTGCTTCCGGATCCGATACATAGTCAAAGTCCTTTTCTTGCAGCTGAGGACGGCAGCGGCTCCATTGAGTTCCCCGAGTTTCGGCGATACTTTGTGGATCCACCTCCGCTGCCCAGACCGAGAAGTAGCATGATCTTTTGAGATTGACATACACGGGATCCTTCTATCTACCTGCTTACCCATTTGTCTCTTTATACTTGTCTATCCATCAATGAGCTTGACATAAATCTGTTTTCTTGGCCAGTCAGCACCAGAGCCTTGCCCGCGGTGGAGATCAGCTGACAATTGGTTCAGGTGTTGTCGGCTTACTATGGGTTATACTATAATCCATATTCTGGGACTCCCAAAAGGAACTCCTAATTACGGAAACCCCGTGTATGTCATCACGTTCAATGCCGTGAGCTCCAAAACATCCCAGATCACATTGTGTCTTGGGGCCCTGGGAGGGGACCCTTACTGGGGACCCCTGTGCGTTATGGGGGGTAACACAGGCACTACCTGGTTATATGGGGGGTATATAAGGACTGCACGCATTGTTGCGGAATCTTAACATTGGGCAGTTGGGCAGCCGTAGCTTGCCAATCAAGTAATTATATCACCTAAGTTGGCAGATCAGCTGGAACACTTTATTTGGGATTGTGCAGCCGGGACGCATAAGGGGTCCTCCTTATTCGGACCTGTAACACATGCGACAAATCATGGTTCGTTACTTCAGTATTCCATCGGTCGGTAGCATCCTGGGCCTGGGGCTCTTTGAACCGCGCGAGGCTGTTTCGGAACTTCGACCTCCATCGTCGCGGTGGTGGTGAGCGAGACCTCGAGGAGGCTTCAGATTGCAGAAATGCGGGGAGATCAGGATCTTGGGTCTTGACTTAGTACTTCGGAGAATGTAAATTGGGCCCATGCCTGGGAGAGCAGCGCTGCAGAGCCCTCAGCTGTCTGTTTTGGCCTTTGCTTACATTCTCTTGGCATCGCAGGAGGAGGGTGAAGGCGAGCCGCTTCCAGCAATCGAGGCTTGGAATTTGTGCTAAATCACCCTGGGCTGCATGGGTCACCCGGCTTGCCGTTCTCAGTCTTTTGCTCAGCGAGATTCAAGCCACAAAAATCAGCCTGACGCTCACATCCTGGGATAGCCTAAGGGCCATAGCTTCCGAAGCCTGTTCGTATCTTCGTGCAGGACACAATGGAGATGGAAGAGCATACGCTGGAGGGCGTGCAGCGGTCGGACAAAAAGAAGAAGTTCACCGTCAAGGCTGCCTGTCATGCTTGCTCCTAAACCCTTCGCAGCAATGAAGAAGGATGGCAAAGCAAGTGCTCGTAGATGGCTATGTAGGATCTTTCTCGGAGATTCTTGGGCATTGTGCTGTTGGATGCAGGTCCCGAATTAAAATCCTAAGTTTGGGCTGCTGGATTGCGAGTACTGGATCGTTTCACGCAACAGGCAGAATGCACAAATTTGAACAGTTGCATGCTGCCTAGGCGGCTGAGCATTCCAGTGATCCGCGCTTCAAGCACATCAAGACCCTTGTGAAGGGTGGCATCACACCTGATCCTTGGCTTTGGACATGCCGGTGAGAAACAAAGGTGTCTTCCTGCTAGTTCAGTTGCACTTCGGGATTTTGTTTGTCGACAAGCCCAATATTCAGTCCTCAGAGTAGCACGAGCTGCCTTCAGAAGTGCGTAAGCTGATGTAGATGAGCGGAGCAGATAGGTTGGATAGGTGCTGATGCTGCCTTGTCTTCTCCCCTTCAACGGCGACAGCTCAGGAAATCATCCGTGATATCTACCAAAGCTTTGTGGAGCTTGACGATAGCGATTCTGGCTACATGTCATTTCAGGCGCTAGACCTCAAGGGTTCTCCTCTTCCGTTACAGACCTGTGCTGTTTGGTGTCGCAACACATCCTGTGCAGTCGGCGTGCCGTAAAAGAAAAGTGGCAAAATGGCCCTGGCTGCTGCAGGCGTTCTGCAAAGTCTTCAGACAGGCCGGATACTGGACGCTGTGGCATGCGTTTCATCATGCTATCAGCGTGTCTTGCTCTGCGCAGAAGCCTTCACCGGACATGCGGGAGATTTTCGACGCATTTGATGCAGAGCACGAGGGTGAGCCGCTGCCCTGGAACATTTTCTTTCTGGCCATGTGCGCGTGGCACTCGCATTTCATGTACACCCTTCGCTGTTTTCTGGATGGATCGCCACCTGTGCTGTGCGGAGGCTCGACCTCCGACAGTTTGTCATCGGGCTTTCCACGTGCGCCATGCATCCCTCGGATCCTTGATCTTTGAGTTTGTTTGGCAGTGTATCGGTGCATTCTTCTCTGAGCTGTGCTGAACACGGTTGCTGTCTGGCAAGCAGCATACTCATACTGGTTGTCTGAACTGACTGCATCCCTGCGTTTGGCATGAACCTTTGACAGCAATCTTGCCAATGCCGTGGTGACATGTTCACGGCTCCTGAGCAACTGCTTCAGTGCTTCTGCAGCTGAACAGCTTTCAAACCTCAGCCAGAGATGAGAGACCGGCAGCTGATGGCAAGCTCAGAATCATGGCGCGGCGGTGGCAAGAGGCAGTGTGGTTGGATTCAGTGGCTCGGCACCAGCCCGTGACTTTCAGGGTTTATGGAAGCAAGCGAGCTGTCCGCATGTTGCAATGTAGCTGCACGGAGTGTCTGAGGTTGCGCGAGATCAGCGTCAGGCCGACATCCCCTCTGCAGGAAAGGAAGTCACTGGTTTGGCTGGCGCAAGGCGTCCTGGGTGCTTGTTCAGGCATTTCAATTTTCTGCAGTTCGGTTCCCCACTGTTCGCATCTGACTACGTAGCATTGAAGGTGCGCTGATGATGATCACACTTTTGAGCCGTATTCTGACTGTGTTCATCCAAGCCCAAGACTCTTTAAGTATCTTTATTGTCAGTATTGAATCCTGTGGTTACATGGGCATCAGAATCATTCTTTCAAATCAAGCCGGTTGTTTCTTCTCAGTGTGACTCTCTTCTCCTTGCATCTGCTTTATTCTCATTGTAAGTTTCTGTGTATACATAGTACGATTATTGCTGGTGTGATCGGCACAGACTTTGGCGCCGCGCGGCTGCGGCGCTGCGGCGTGCAGCTGGCTGCCAGAGCCCGAAGGCAAATGGTTTGGGGTTCTTAGTCTTTGGAGTTTTTAGAGTGCAGGGTTCAGAGTAGGCAAGGGCATAATTACTGAGTAGAGAACAGGCCGCGCTAACCTGATACAGCACAACAGCAGGGTTATGGTGTATAGCCTGCATTGCATACTAGTTTTTTTTTGCTGTTCCGTATAGTCTAGTCAGCAGGATCATGTAGACCACCGATCAAAGATTACCGCTGACGTGGAATCACACTGTCATAGAACAATACATCAATAGAGGTTTAGCTTTCCCGGCAAGGCAGTCGGATTTCTAGTTTTCTCACGCGATCTTCCTAGTTTCCCCACCTGCAAGGTGTCATCTTACAACTCCGTGGTCATAGCGCTTGCAAAGAGCCGCGTGTGGACGGCAGCTCTGGAGACAGCTGCAGAAGTTCTCAGGACATGCAAGTTGTGCTGGTGCCTGATGTGAATTGTTGCCAGCTGCCCGTCACCACAAGGTGGAGTATCGGTTTAGCCTTCTTTGGACTCACGACCGCAGCTGCCACCGCCCGCAGGAGCACCCTGCAGCCCAACGTGATCACGTGGAATTCGGTGCTTAGCTCATGTGGCCCGCTGTCTCGGTGGCAGCTTGGCAGCGCTGAAGCTGTTGACACTTCCTCCCGTGGACAGCTTTCCTATAATCTGTGAGATGTGCAGCTGGCCCGTCTGCCAGTGGCTTCCAGAGCAACATGCCGAGCAAGAAGCTTCGACATAAGGGGGTTGACTATTACCAACTTGCACATACGTACATAATGATGCATACCCACATGTATATAATTACATATATATATATGTACACATGACGAACAGCGGATTTATGCAGGTCCTCATACTTAGGTTGCGCCAAGCTCCCGGAGCATTCGCCGAAACTCCCACAGACATGTAGTTCAGGCAGTTTGGCAACCTCGTGCTGGAGCAGCTAAGTCACTCGCTCTGCATCTCAAGATGTTAAAGCCCACTGATTGTGTACAGGTGCGTACCATATGGGATCCATGAAGCTGCAGGCTTTGAATGGTGGCTACAACATGACATCCACGGCAAGGGAGCTGTTTAAGAGCGGTACTTCCCAGGCAGAATGGCAAGAGCAAGAGCAGCAGCAGTAGGAAGAAGAACTCGACGAGATGAGCAACGATAGATAACAACTAAACAAGAGCAGTGCGAGAAGCAAGTGGTCAGAAAACCGTTGAACGCGACTCTGTTAAATGGCTCATCGGCACACCTGGAAGCTCTCCACCAACGATGGGCTTCAGGCCAGCGCACGCATGCTGAGTGGACAGAGCCTGTGCCTCTTGCAGTTCCACCGGCATGCAGCAAACCCAGCCTGTGGAATGCGCACAGCCCCATTGCGCGACCTTACCACAGTCTTGCAACATCCACGGCTCACGCGACGATAGCAAGAGGTCATGGGCTAAAGTCTACACCTTGCGATCGGAAAGACGTACACCATATTGGGTTTGTATGGGGGTAACGTTGGGATTCATATAGCTGTATTTGCCAGCTCACATTTCCATCTGTCGAATTGTGGTCGCAAGGATGTGTGTACACCCTTGTACAGCATAAGAGGTTTTGGCGCCTCCGATCGCGAATATGAAGTTTGGTTGCTTTTATAACTGCTCTGAAGATTAGATGCAACTTCAAAGCCATATTGGCATAGTGGCCAAAGATTAGCGCAAGATTTGACATGCCATGAAGGCTGAAGCTCGAGGTGGGATCGAGGGTTGTTAAGGGTTGAGATGGGAGGGCGATCAGACTAGGACTTAGACTCTGCCCCCTCTGAGTTAATCCAAACCTTCATTGTCCTTTCTTGAAGTGATTGTACGTCTTAGCGTATCACGACCTGCTCATTGTATTCACAAATCGAGCTCCCAATTGTTGGTGGAAGTCATGATGTTAACACAGTGGTTGGCTTATGCAGGTCAAGGTTCGTAGAGTTTGCTGCAGCTGTGGCTGAGTGAGCGGTGTTGTCTTCACGTAGATGATGTAGCACACGCAGGTATGTTTACCTGATCGTATTCCTTCCTGTTCGTACTTTGCCCCAGATTCATGTGAGTGAGGGTGTGCCTGGGCACTCAGTTTGAAATAGGAGAATTTTCAACAGCAGACTCTGTGCTGGCATCCCAGGAAACTTTGTCCAATGAACTCTATGAGATTCTGTTTTCAACTGTAGGACCGTTTCAGCGCAGCTTCATGCTGTAGATTCACAAAATGCTGCACCATGGCAGTTTGAGCCACAGTCCCTAAATCCTACAAGTTACACTACTTTAAATACTTTAGGGAGCATTGGTTGTGCAAGATTTCTTTCAGCCCTTCAGGGCTTAGGGTCTGAGCCCAGGCAGACGGGCGCTCGAAGCCAGTCTTGTGTCCTTTAACTCCGTGCTGGCGCTCTGCCGCGGCGACTCGGATATTGCAGAACTCACATGAAGGGGAAACTATAGGGCATTATGTAGGGGAGTATGATAGGAGTTATTAAGGGGCATACTACAGTTTAGACTATAGCTCACACCAGGTGAAGATCTTGAAGCCTTTACTGCTGTATGCTTTCTTCCATCAGCTGTTTTTCTTCACCCAATCCGTCAAAGAACCAGACAACTCTGCTTATCATAATCCTTAATTTGGAAGACCCGCAAAATGGCACCCCTAATTTTGGAAAACCTCAACCTTAGACCCTATATGACACCTATATGATCCCTATACAACCTCCATATGTTGGAGACCCACAAAATGGCACCCCCAATTTTGGAAATAGATTTTTACATATCCCATCGTTGAAGTGTCCTAAACCCTAAACCTTAATTGAAGTGTCCAGTCTCAAGGAGAGGCCTGGCGTCGGGGAGCTGCTCAGTTCGACTGCCTCACAGGCTCTGGCCTGTCACCGGCTGCTTGGCGATGGAGTCTAGTACCCTGAAAGTGGTTTATAGGGATAATATAGGGGTTAGGGATGCAGCACTATTGAGAGCCGTGAGGATGCAGCTACTGCTGGCTCCATTGCCGTGACGAACGGCTGGAGCCAAGCGCTCTCCTGGGTCTCGCGCACCGTGCTTTGCTTGGACAGCTTATCCATGACTTTCAAGAGCCTTTCAGCTCAAAGGTTCTGGTTTTGCCTTTCAGGTGCTCCTGCAGGTGCGAACCAACCTGATCATTTACAATTCAGTCATTGGCACATGTTCAGCGCAGTGGCAGCAGACGATTCGTCTCGTTGAAGAACTGGTTCAAGGAGGTGGGGAATCCTGTGCAAACTGCATGGCTGTTGCGTTTTGCTTGTTCTTCTGCCACTCTGATTTGTCAGGCGGCAGCCCAGATCTCATCACAGCGAACCTAATGCTTTCATCTTGTGGGAAGGAAAGCCAGTGGCGAAAAGCTCTCCAGGCAACATCTTCCATTGCTGGCTGCAGAGTGAGCGTGCCCTGTCAGACATTTCATAGAGTTTTTGGCCCTTTGGTGGCAGTAGGTGCTTGCTTGTAGAGCTGTCTTGTGAAAGCACAAACCGCACGAGCCTAGGTCAACATCCAAACCTACAATTCAATCCTCAGTGCATGCGGGAGAGGCGATGACTGGCAACAGTCCATCGCTTACCTGGCTGACATGACATCGAACCACCTTACACCTGACATTGTCACATACAATACCTTGATGGCAGCTTGCCAAAGTGCTCTGCAGTGGCTGGTGGCGTTTCAACTTTTTCACGACATGCAAGAGAATGGTCTACAAGCAGATTCAATTGCTATCAATTCACTGCTAGCTGCATGTGGGAGCAGCAAGCAGTGGCAGGCTGTACTTTCTATGGCAGTGGATCAGGGCGGCTTGCAGCCAAGCGTTGTGACCTTTGGGGTGGCCATGAACGCATGCGGCGGCGCCGAGCACTGGAAGTCGTCTTTCGAGCTGCTGGGTGCTCTTCGACACAAGCAGTTGGAGTCTTGGAAGCTTCTTCAGAAAGCCAGTGATAGTGCGGCTAAGACACCCGTTTTTTTCCTTTGCAAAGTACACGGGCGGTGTGTAGAAAGTAGCCTGCTGCGATGTTGCTTGTTCTGCAACAATGTTCGTGGTTTTGCTGATTTCTGCCGTGCCCAGAAGTCATCACACCCACTGAGCCTAGGAGGTCAACACTATCACCTACAACTCCCTGATTGATGCTTG